AGATCTACGAACAGAATCCCAGGAGTCATCAGTAAATATTACAGTAGTATCATCTACATAGAAGATTTTGATAAATCGTATTTCATACCCTGTTACGGCCTGAAGTTACCGTGACAAAGGTCGTTGAACTAGGGCACACCTGTAGTCCAACTCGATGAGTAACAGAAGGTCGGGCCCAAAATGGCCTGTGGATAATTAAACTATAACGGCTGACAAAGAAGCAAGCAATACTTACCGATTACCGGAGGTAGGGTTAAGCACAGGGCATAGTCAGGTGAAAAGTGATGTGTAAGTGGTGTGCAGTATTGTATTCAATGTGTAACCTGACATCCCCGCTGATCCTGGACAGCAGATCCCAAGGCGTTGCCTCTCTCCAAATGTGGGATCCATCCAAGGGGCGTACACCAATGGAAAACTTCCGCTTCTATTTTCACTATATTAGTTTATCACTTTATTGTACATTTAGTTAACTTCAAGTTCAACCAAACCAACGTTAATCGACGTTAAACAGGCCTGCACAACTCAAGGAAGTTTAGTCAAAGTTAAATGTCCCAGGCTCACGTAGCACAAAACTACTAACTCGATGCAATTAACGGCATAAAAGTTCCTTTAATCACTCCAAACTCCAATTAGTCCTCTTGTCACGTAACACGTTCAAAACAGACAACTAAATTCGAGGCGGTCTAGACTGCCGCGCGCAACCGTATACAGTCACAAACAATACTCAAGCTATTATAACAATAATTATCTAATATGGCCTCGTTGTCACGAAAACAAATTAAGATCAGACTGTAATAGGCTTGCAACGTATAATCGACCCGGGATTCGCTTAAATAAACTCAAGAATAAGCCTCGTTGTCACGTATATTAACGACTAAAAACAACACCATCGAGGCCGTCTATAAGTGACGCAAAAATTATATCAAACTGGCGACCTCTAAATCGACCCAGGAGATTACGTAACACGCGACTTTCAACTGGCGCGGTTTCACCGATCAAGGCTTTCGGCCGACTGCCGCGCGGCGACTGCATGCCCATAGCAAGCGCCTCTCTCCCCGCAACGCTAACCGGTTCCCCGCTCGAGATGCGCGTACGCAAACTACAAATGACACAACAATCGGGCGTGAACAAACCCCCGTCCCGGACATAAGGGCCTATGTCCGCGAGTAAATTGGCAACCGGGATAGGGTAACGACACGATGCAAGACCGAATCTTCAACCAAGACCTCGGCCACTAACGCGACGGAGATGCGCTCTTGCAACCCCAACCACCGCCTCAAATCACCGCCCCAGCGTGGGCAAGCCGGAGAGTCGAATTTCCCCTGGATGGGCACGTTGTGGGACTGTTGCAGGACAGAAATTCGAAGACCTGCTTCAAATATCTATCCGTGCCCCTACAATCCGTTCCGCAGTCCGGCCGAATCCGGTCCGGCAAACCGCGACGCGATAAGAAACGGCCCAGCGTGGCCACAAAGGCTTCAGTGCTGAGGGCACTTACAAGTTGAACGAAATGAACGGCCTTAGTGGCGAGGCACACGATAACGCACCGATAGGCCTTATGTGAACGCGCGTTACGTAGGTTAGAGGACTTGACGAGGAAGGGGCCAGCAAAGTCGGTTCCGACTTGAATGGTCGAATGGCCCTGAAGAGGTCGGGTGGTAAGTCACTCATCATCGGCTCAGGTATGGTGGCCCTCAATCTACAACAAGGTATGTTCCCAAAAACGACGCTCCGAATAGTGCGTCGGCCAGCCAAAATCCAAAACTCCAGCTACCATTAGCTGCATTCTGATCATGATGGTGAGTTACCCGCAACCGAAGCACAATAATAAAGCACAAGAGAAAAAAAAACAAAAACGAAAACAAAAGGGACAGATTTTAAGAGCTACATCGAAAAAATGTAAAATGTCATAAACTCTGACAGTAAGCTCAACTAACAATCTCTCAACAAATAACGTTGAATGAATGTAACGCTCGATGCGCATTGATCAAAAGCAAAACAGATAAATTAAGTAAACGATAAAGATAACCATATTCCATTATTAGAGTATAATAAAAAATAGTACAAATAGCTACTCAATTTCAATTTTCTTTTCAACAAAGCAAACATAATGATCAAAATTTTTTTAAACATTTACAAAAACACATATACGCATTCAAGAGCATTTCAAATTCCCTCTTTTACTCAAAACCGCTACGACACCCCGACTGGTTGTGGGAGGGACCCCCTCCAAAACCTTCGGCACGGTGGCCGGCAGGAGAGCAACGAGCGTCGCCCGACAGAGGGCGTGGCTGAACGCCCCCGCCCGTGGGGGATGAGACCCGGCAGAGCCCCGAGAGGAAGCTCCGTTCGCACCCAGGCATGGTGATTGCCCTGGCAGTGCGGACAGGGCCGCTGGTGCGGGCAGCCTCGTTGGAGGTGCCTTTCCAAACATGAGTAGCACCAGCGGCGCTCCTTGGCGATGGTTCGTCTCGCTGGGACCGGCTTACCTAATAATTTAGGGCACGACGTCACCCGGTGATCGGATGCTCGACAATAGGAGCAGGGGGGCGCCTTCCTGGCCACTAGGCCACTATAAGAAGGCAGAGGGCGGCGCCCTCCCGCGGGAGCTCCGCTCGGTCTGTGGGGGGTTGACGACGATTTGCCCGGGGGATTCTGCCTCTCTCTGGGCACGGCTCGGTTGGCAGTCTGTAGGTCGTCGACGGTGCCCGCTGCGTTTTCGATCTGCCTGCACTGCTCCTCCAGGAACCGCAGCAGATCCCTGAAGGGCGGAATAAAGGAGGCGCCGTCCCCGCCGTACCTCTCCTCGAAGTGGAACCGAAGATCGAGGGGCAGGCGGGACAGCACAATATGGAGCAGCAAAAAGGACCATTCGTCCACCGGTAAATCCAGCCGCCTCAAAGAATTGCAGGCCACCAAGACTGGATTTACGAGGTCCGGCCGTAGTCTGGCCCGGTCCTTAAGCAGCGGGAGGTTTAACAGCTGCTTGACGTGTTCGTCCGCGATTCGCCGTACGTTGGCGTACCTTCCGGCGAGGAGGTCCCGAGCGGTCTGGTAGGCGTCGTCCGACAATTTCAAATGGCCGACGACGCCCAGGGCCTCCCCCTCCAGTGAGGCCAGGAGGTAAGCCATCTTCTGGCTTGGTGTCAAGTCCCTCCGGGCGTCCACTAGGCTATCAAACAGTCCCACAAAGGTCAGCCATTCGGAGAGGACCCCGGAGAAACTTGGCAGGTCCAGAGTTGGGAGTCGTCCCAACAGCTCCGGCTGAGTAGGCTGCTTCAAAATTGCTTTAAAATTCGTATTGTAAAGCACCCGAAACGTCGGGTGGTAAGTCAAAATTTAACCTAAGCTGTTCGGCCTTGATTAGGAATCAAAACGCAGATGCGTTGTTACCTCTGAGTATTTATTTAGTACTAAGATGAAAGGCCTCGCTTCCAGTAAAAAAAGAGTCTCCGGACCTCTACACTCACCATATGAAACACAGCAGTATTAAGCTGGTACTCCGTGAGAGGGTGGTCCTTCCCCAGTCGGGCCGACCCATTCAAGCTACCACCATAATATAGCTGCAGCATGGGTCTACCACATATAAAATAATTTGAAAAGCGATATGGCTTTGTAAAAGGCTGATCTACAACTATCCAGCATATAACTAGCTCCGAAGTATGGTCTCGTTGATCCAAAACGGACTTACTATAAATACTTGCCAGAACCTGTGCTTTGTGTAATAACAACGCCACTCTCTACCCGGGATCTTCACACACAGGAATATTTTTACGAATATAAACCTGGTGTTATGTTGATGTAAAAGGCGCAATAAGATATTTCTGGTCGACATTACGATTCTGTATGTGTAGAGCTGGAGAAAGCTAAAACAGGTTACACAACAAAATATCTGGACCAGGCTACCAGGCTCACAGAGGTGACTGATATGTGGGGTCGTATGGCGTTTAAAATTGTTCCGGTAGTCATCCCTGCAAACAGGTTAACCCCAGTCAGCCGTATTCGTATTTATGTTTAGGTATGGTGTATTATGTTTTTACACATTTTTGTAAGTATAAGTATTGGCATCCCATAATAAAAGTGTCCTCCCTCCATACCGAATTTCAATGTCTAAGTGGCCAATCTCAGCAGAGACTAGCCATCTCACCAGGACAGCATTGTAGTGGACGAGTGTTGGCGCAAGTACAGGTGCACTTTATTCCCTCACTATCATAGTCCTTTGGGATGGTAATCTGACCCAACCAGAGAAATTAGGCGAAGGATCAAAGGTTTTATGTGTTTTCCGCAGCACGGGATAAACCCCACCAATTTCCTGACTGTGGAACTACTGAGAATTTCTCGACAGAAAAACCCAATAACAATAACTGAATTTAGTCCATTATTCGTACCCGGGACTCATGTAGTTCAGTAGTCACAATTACGACCACAAGACTAACAAGGCAGTCAGCCACATATACTCACTGCCACACAGCGGACCAAATTACCATGTGTACACGCATGTTTCTAGTGTGTTCTCTTTCATTAATATGCTTGGCTGGCTGGTGATTTGGCGATTATAGTACCTACAGACATATCACACCTTTAATGCTGCTGCTTGTTGCTGTTCTGGGTGTTTTGAGCCTAGTGAAAATGATCAATAGTTATAGAGTATGTATTAGAAGTCAAGATCTTTCAGGTGATTCCCGTAATAGCCTCCAACAACACCCACAGAACCAAAAGAGGTGATTGACTCTTACACTCCGTACACATGGCATCTAGTTATTGTTTATTTACATTAAGGATATTATTTTCTTTATATATATTATGTGAACTTGCTCTTGCATAATCAATTCAACAGTCACAAAAATATATGTCAAAAAACAAGTTGAACATAAAATCATACTACCCTCAAAGTATTTTCTTTTAGTCATAATATTTTGTGTAAAACATAATGAAAATATTTAAAAAATAAATACATTTGAAATCAACAAAAACTTTCAAATATTATGTAGCACATTTATTTAATCTTCTTTTTCACTACATGCAATTGGGTGGAAACATGTTGGACAGCTACCGGTAGCAACTCCAAATGTTGGGGGACGACCTCCAGTGCAAGCTACAAGCCACTAAAATAAATAAAATAAAAATGATAAAACATTTATATTAATATGAAATAAAAAACTGAAAAATAAAAAACTATTCAAAAACCTCATATAAGCAACTTCTATGAAAGAAAACACCACAGGCAGTGTTCTGACACAGTGGCTGGGGTACACCTGGATAATCTGGCAATTCATTACATAAACAAATTCCACATATTTGTTTATCCTCTTCTGATGAAATATCATATTTTGGTGGATTCACTTCATGTACTGCTGATGACAGATTAGACAAATCTAAAAAAATATGAGGAATAAATATGTTGCTGTATTTAATATATGTATGAAATTACAAAACAACATAATACCAAATATGATCATGATATTGTCAACAATGTCCTTATCATGATCCCAAGTCAAAAGGCCCGACTGCAATTTGTCATGCCAAAATTCTGAGTGACCAATGAGGTAAATATTCGTTACTTTTCCATCTGGAGTTACATTAACATGGAGCCATGTCCTATTATCTGTTAAAATGCATTATAAAGTACCTGTTACAACAGTTGTTTCTTCAACTTCAAATGCTAAATAGTGATATCAAAAAACAAACCGAGATATATTTTTCTGTAGTCATCTTTAAAGGTAGGTTTCAAGGGTTCTACAACAGAACAAAACTGATCAATACGCTCTAACTCCCTAAAATAATTACTAAGACTATTCACATGATCTCTAAAAATGTGTAAAATTTCATTTATGGAGTTATAAACCTTGTCTTGATATGGTGAATGAGGTAAATTAACTGAGGTAATCACATATTTTCGTAGACCTTTATATTTCAAATTAATTTCATGTTCTCTCACACCATCTTCATCTATAATGACAATTTTAAGTTCTGTTAATGTTTTACCGAAATAAACAGTAACATTTGGTAGAGATTCAACTTGTTTTATTTCTTCAAAATAATTTCTATTAATAATATTCAGATCAATCGATTCCTTACTATAATTATTCATATAATTTTTGTCTGAAAATAAGTTTTTTAAACTGAGTAGTAGATCAGTTAGACTTGAGTATTTTTCTTTAGAAAAAACCTTCTGCAGGTCTACTATCCTATCCATAATGTACGTACTACTTTATAATTTACTTTATCAATGTTCGAATCAGTTCCACCAAATACTTATAAAATCTTGGGTTTTCTACAGTAATTGGTTCCACCAGTTTTGAGTTTTTAGATTAATAAATATGTAGCAAGCTAGTTTTACATTCAAATCAAAATCTAATATATAGTGATCTGTGATCAAAATTCAAATCACAGAACCATAGATAAATAAATATGTAGAAAGCTGCACAGAACATTATGCATTATACACCGTATACACAGAAACCTATAGACTAATGATCAGCATGGCCTCGAGTGAGAAAGAACGATAACGAATTTTTAGGTTATACAATAATCTTTATGACTTTTAAACACATTTAGATAAAAAGTTAAATTGTTCTAAGAACTGAACTGAACAAGATTCACCAATCTTAAGCTCACAAAACACTTTTTTCTCACTTAAACCAACTTGTAAACTCCTTAAATTGCACGCTGTTAAAGTTGTTTAGCAAACTGTAGACTTTGCTAAGCAAAAAAACCGGCACGGAGAAAGGGACAAACAATCACACCGCTCTATCTCATTTCTATGCAAGACGTATGCATAAATTTATCCTTTACGTGTGCGAATGCGAAAGAAGACAAGTCAATTTCAAAGAAAACAAGAAAAGAAGTCAATTTGTCAATAGGTTTCTCTGTCTACGGTATACACCGAGAACTACGGTGTACACAGAACCGTGAACAATATACACAGATTACATTTACCCACAGATAACTATATACTAGTCAGAGACATTCACCCTGAACAATATATGACAATATATATACCACAAACTAAATATAAACATATACCACATAGGGATGTTCGATGGTCATCGAAGTTAAAAATTAAAACAACAATGTTGCCACATGTCAAACATCGAAGTCAATGAACCAATAATTGACTAATAAGAACTTGTGAACAATACAAACCCGCGAAATCAATATGAACTAAATATTTCCTCTCACATTAAAGGGTTAAAATTTTTGAATAATTCAGGATTCCTAAACGCATCGATCACCTAAAAATATCATAATAATGTGTCAAACTCACTATCTAATGTGAACTGTAATGTCACAGTTGTCACTGCTTTTGCTTTGTTATTCTGTGGTGTCGTTGTCGGTTGTCACCTATGGTTCATAAAAGATAGCTTGATCTCTGCGACAGCTGTCAGTAAAAATCACGCCTATGAAGTCCTGAATTTCTTAGTAGTACAGACAGTACCTGTCAATGTCATACTTTATGGGCATTCACTAATTAGGTCGGCATGCCCATAAAGTATGACATTGACAGGTACTGTCTGTACTACTAAGAAATTCAGGACTTCATAGGCGTGATTTTACTGACATCTGTCGCAGAGATCAAGCTATCTTCTATGAACTATAATAACTATTCTACGTAAATTGATATTCAAATTAAGCCGCTGATAGATAATTTGAAATGTATCTACACAATTCAATTATATTGTGCTGTTTTTTAAGCTATAAATAACAAATGAACTAGACATTTGTTAACTTTTTTTATTACTGTTTGACACTAAATTTTTATTAATTTCTCTTTACATTAATAATAATTTTACAATAATAATAAATCATAAACAACACTACTAATTTTGTATTCATCTAATTTTAACCTACTAAATAGGTACATGTGCCATAACATCGATAAAGGCCAACATCGATGTTTTGAGTAGGATAATCATTGAACATCGATGTTGTTATCGATACCAACATCGATGTTTCTGCAACATCGATCATCCCTAATACCACAAACTATGAAAAATTATATAATAAGATTATAAACGTAATACGTAGACAGAGAAACCTTAGGTTTCTAGGTAGGGATAAATTTATTAAGAGAGGGTTAAAAAGCATCATTTTATATAATTATGATCAATAAGGTGTAAAGGGATAATAACTTCTTCAATGTTACTTGAACACTCACTGTCACTATCACTTTCGTCACTGTCCATGGAGGTTAGAATGCCAACCCTCAATAAAAAGCGATTGCTTACTTCATTTATTATTTTATTTTTCATATTCAATTTTTATACCATCTGAGCTCTTTTTTTTCCAAATCTCTTCGCTTATTGAGCTTAACGTTTCTTTTATAAGGGATTCCACTTGATCATCTCTCTGGCCCACTTTTTTCTCTTCGAACAGTCTCTTCATAACACTCCATATTAGCTCAATTGAATTTAAATCTGCAAGATATGGGGGCAGTCGCAAAACATTATGACCATGTGATTTTATTAATTCGTCAGCTTTATATATGGGCCCTGGTTTATTTATTTCTATTAATTCACATAAAATGTTTTTGGCAAAATTTGGTGAAAACAACAGTGCCTTGTTATAAAGCAACTCTACCATATCTATTTTGAGGCTTGCCATATTAGGGCTTTTATTTATTTGTACTTTATCATATGGTGCACTGTCCATCACAATCACACAATTAGGTAGCAGCTGTATCTGTTCGTTCCACTAACATTTTTCGTTTTGATTGACACTTTTTGTATTTATATCCGAGTCGTTTTAATATATTCCATAGTGTAGTACGCCCACTTTCAAAATTTTTTTTCATCTAGCAATTCGACAAGTAATTTGTTTAACGTAGCAATTTTTTTTGTACAGCGTAAAATGACATAATTTTTTGTTGTGTTGCACCAGCACCAGTATTATCGATTTTGATCTTTGTATCGCGATTTATGGTTCATAAATGATAGCTTGATCTCTGCGACAGCTGTCAGTAAAATTCACGCCTATGAAGTCCTGAATTTCTTAGTGGTACATACAGTACCTGTCAATGTCATACTTTATGGGCATGCACTAATTAGGTCGGTATGCCCGTAAAGTATGACATTGACAGGTACTGTCTGTACTAATAAGAAATTCAGGCCTTCATAGGTGTGATTTTACTGACAGCTGTCGCAGAGATCAAGCTATCTTTTATGAACTAGAAACGTTTTTTTCCAGGTGTTACTTTTGATGGACCAGGCCCACCCATATTTGAAACAGAACTGATCTCTCTTTCTTGTCTCAAAATTCGGGTTACTGTAAATTCGGATACATCTGTAGTCATTAAACAAATGCAATTTTATTTTCTTAGGTAGTTAATAACATTAAAATATTTTAGTAACGTTATTAAAATACATACGTGACGTCACTAAAATATATATACTTCTTTACATACAAATATTTTAATATCATTAAGCGAATTACAATAACAACAGTTAATCTAAATCATTGTAACTGGTCACCCTAAAAACAAACCGGTGATGGCGGCAACTCGGGCACGAATATGTTGCAATGGCAAAGTCAGCTTGTTTTCACCCTTTTCTTGTCACAAAAAGCGTAAATTTGAAGAATAGTTTTCCTTTTAGCACTTTTAACTACTTTCGGAATTTTTAAAACTGAGATTAAATTATTAAAAAGAAAAATAGCACACAGATAGCAACCAATCAAAAAAATTAAGATGGCGACTGAGGAAACAGTGCTACCAATCACTCACGCGTCAAGTTAAGATGAAGGGACTATAGAGAGGATTCAAATTGTTACTCAATAAAAACCATAGATTTAGTCATTGACCTATCATATACTACGTACTCGAGGCGACACTGGATTTACAAAAAAACAGGATTAGGTCTAAAAATATATATCTTAGAAAGAAAATTGCAACGTTAAAAACTATAATGGCGGAGTTACAATCCAAAAAATGAATACATGAGGATAATTTTAATATTTTAAGCAGGCTTGTTGTCGGGCAAAGAGAACTAATTCAAAGACAAAACCAAAAAATCAAAACCGGAAAAATTATAAAAAAGTTACTCTCCGGCTTTAAAAAGTTTAGCATTAACATAAATTTTTTATTCTACCCAAGTTTACTAATATGTCAGAAAACTTTCAATAACTGCTTGCCACCTATACGAACATTAGCGAAATGGTATTAATGCACGGATCATGGATGAATTTGAGTATTCAACCAACAGTTTAACAGATAACAGTACAAAAACTCTCCACAGCGAGTAGCTAGAGGCTATGAAATGAACTTAGCAGTTGTCGACAGAGTGAAGTGTGCCGAGTAGAAAAATTTAATATTTGTGGCGACTAGAGTAGTTGATGTAACTGCAGTATTTAAAATATGGAGTGTAGAAGCAAGGAGTACTAACTCCCATAGTAGAATAGTTGAAAAAGTGGTCATCTATTAGCAGTAAATAACAGCTCAAAAACTCTCCACAACAGCGCTGGAGTAGCTACTGGAATGAAATGAACTTAGAAGTTGTCGGCGGTTTAAGTGTGCTGCTAAACTCCTCGAAAAAGTCGTCTATCCCACTAATATTTTTCAGTGCGTTCTTTAACGTATACCCCGTAGTTATAGTGGCGCCATCATTATTTAACGGTTTTCTATGGACACTTTTTAATACACAGTCTGTACCCCTTACTTCTACACTCCATAATTTAAAACCTCAACTATTTACTTTGTCTTAAATAATTTAGTAAATATAACCTAGAAATAGTCGCCGTAAAAAACGTTAAGAGTGAATTTGAAAATAAAAATTTTGAAAACAAAATAATTATTATAAAAAGAATTATGGTGAAAGTGTGTGCAATAAAAATTATAAAAAGTTTGTGATAGTGGTGATATGCGGTCCACTATTAACAGAGTTCGAGTGGTTTAGTGGTGGAGAAATGAAACTACTTTTTTGATGTGCAGACAAATGGTGTATGGAGTATGGAATGTATTTTTACGTCAACCTTGCCTATATTTATATGTCCGGCTACGTCGTTAGTTTACCAATGATAACAATTTTTATTTGCCTAGCCAATTACAATTCTTCCATTATGACCAATAAAGATTAATCAAAATACAACTATTATGTGCGTTCCATTTGCCGGCGTGAGACTCGTGTATATCTTCTCGTAGCTACGTCGCTGGACTGGGCTATAAAAGTTGTGCAGACCGGCGCGCGCGTAGTCGGCGAGCGG